GTCAAGGACAACGGTTCAACCGCTAGGGTCAATATAATCGTTTCAAATGGTAGTATTTTTTGAGGGAATTACACTGGTAGTTTTTTTTCTATTTTTTCGCGGATAAATTACACATGGCAGTTGAAATATTTTTTACAACATATTATTAAATGAAAGAGAGAACATACAAAAGATGATAGTTAGATGATCCACGGATGTTGTAAAAGCCTTCTAAAATGTCAGCATCAACTTGTAAACTCATGGCTTTATAGAAAAGAGTGCAGTGAAATCTAACTTTATTTGTACTTGTAAGTGAAAACAACAGGTCTTCCCTAAATAATATAACTAGATAGTACTCCCTCCGTTCCATATTATTTATCGCTGATTTAGTACAACTTTATACTAAATCCGGGACAAGTAATATGGAACGGAGAGAGTATATACCATTAGTAATACTAATATTTTCACTGTGTTTTTTTTACAGTTTTTTCGACAAACATTATACAGTACAGCATCTGGAGTTGATTTGGTGGGCTGAAAGGACTGTTACAGCCCACCAAAGAAGCACTCTTCTTCTGCGGTCCTGAACTGAATGGCAGCTGCGGGCCGTCATCTTCACCCTCACTCATGGCCGACGGCGACGGTGACGGCGGCGGAGAGGGCGGCGGGAGTGCCGAGTGGCAGCCCATCTACGACCGGGTCCAGGCGCAGGCCGAGGCTCTCGCCGCCGACCGCGCGCGGCTGGAGGCGGCCAGCAAGGTCCAGCGCGAGTCGTGGGAGGCGGCGCGGAGGCTTCAGCGGAGCGTGGAGGAGCTGCAAGCGGCGGCGCGGGAGAAGGACGCCGAGGTCGGCAGGTTGCGAGCAGAAGCCGCCGACGCTACCAAGAAGCTGCAGGAAGTGCGCGAGGTGATTCAATCGATAATTGCTGTCTCCCTCCCCCATTCCTCTCTGGGTTTCGATCTCTCCTGATGCTAGCTGGTGTTGCTGCGGAAGGAAGGCGGATGCGGGCAGGAGGATGAGGTGGGAGGCGGCCTACGTGGATCTGATTCTCGGTGCTAACCAGAAGCTCGCCGGTGAGAAACCCTCGCTTCTTGTGTTAATCCCTGTTGTTCATGTCAGGATATTTCACGAGATGGAAATCTTGCACATTTCCGCACTTGTCGCTTCAGTAGTACTCCTACATCATTAGATTTCTTAGGGATTTTCTTCCCTTTTCTCCAGTTTCTGCCTGTTTATGCGCCGCCCAAGTGCTGATTTTTGTTGGGCAGGGCCGAAGTGTCGATTTTTATTGGGCAGCGCCGAAAAGAAACTGTTAACTATGATGAACTGAATACCAATTTTTTCCTTTTGTTTTCTTAGCACCAATTTATGTTGTTACTGATAGCCATTGCCTTCTGCATTCAATGTAGAACTCAGAGATGTCGACATGGAGGATTCCAGAATTTGTGCAGAAACCCCCAACTCTAAGGTACTGCCCCCCTGAGCTGCATAGCTCAAAACATGCGGCCAAGCTTGCACATCTCGTTGATTAACACGATTGTTGTTTTGTGTAACCAAAGGCAAGACTCAGTCAGAACACTGTGGATCAGGCATGTGTTGCAAGTGATTTAAGCACGGAGCTAAGAAAACTAAAGCAAGCTTACGAGACTCTGAGCTCAAAGAAGGACCAGGAAGTTTCTGCATTATTCTCAGAAAAAGAACTTGCACGTAACCAGTTGGTTGTAATGCAAAAAGCCTATGATGCGCTTCTTAGGAACAAGAACGGGGAGGCAGCACAAACTACTGAAGCAGCTCAGAAGCTTCAGCGGAGTGTAGATGATCTTAAAGTGTCGGCCCAAAAGAAGGACGAGGAGATTAGCAGATTGCGAGCAGAAGCTGTTGCTGCCGAAAAGAAGCTACTGATAGCTCAAAAGCTTCAGCAGAGTGTGGATGATCTTAAGGCGGCGGCCCAAAAGAAGGATGATGAGATTGACAGATTGCGAGCAGAAGCTGTTGCTGCAGAAAAGAAGCTACGGGAAATGCAATCCTTGGTCCAGGAGAAAGATGATGAAATCCAAACAATTAATGATGGGCAAGATGAAACTAATCAGAAGCGCAGGCGTGTCTCCTCGACTTCAAATGTAAGTATTACGTTTGCAATTGTGTGGCTGGGCTCACAAAGTGAACCTTGTTTCCTTTGTTTATTTATTTAGTGGCCTGACTTTCCATAAACATACAGTCAATGGACAATGCCATGTCTAGTTTGCTAAGTAAATCTGCTTGATCAATCATAACATTGATCAATTTTTTAAATCCAAATTTACTGTTTGCAAGTTAGTTGATGACCTCGTGCTGTGTGATCATAGCGTTTTGCTAATATGCATAGATAAACAGACTTGTTTTCCTTTACACCAAGAATCATATAATAATCCTGGGTAATGATATATGACTTAAATTACTTGTACCGACCAACTCACCGAAAAGCCTAAGCTGATGGGGAGAGGTGGTACAATACACTTTGACAATATGCATCCAAAATAATTGAAAGGATGCTTGCACGATTTGTCTTCTGTTGAGAGGCTACACATCAGCTCCAGGCTATTCTTGGCTATCAGATCTGATCCTAGAGCGAGAATGAAGTAGTCAACCCTCATAATCGTATGTATGGCTTGCCGCATGGACCATTTTTCTTACCGTTAGATGCCCCCCTCCCACACACACACACACGAAAAGACACAAACACGGACACACACATAGATGATTTCGTCCTTCCCCTAAATTATCCTCCATTTTCAAAAATGTTCCTTGCCTGTCCGACTCACTCATGGTGACTGTGGTAGGGCTAGATTAGAGGAAAGTGAGCGACCCGCAGGGGAAAAGATAAGGCAGCCTTGTATTGAATCAGGCACTCGTTCATTAGGCTAATAACACGTGAAGGGGCATAAAATTTCCACAGAGAGGGCAAGCTTCAGTTACTGCATATTGCATAGTGGAGATGCTTTCAGCGTTGTGGTCAGAGTGCTGTTCGTCAACCGCCCTACTGCTACAACAAATTTATGACGGGGCCCATTTTGAGAGCAGAAAAATAACTATTAATGCTTGCTAGTGGGGTTTGTCTATATAGGATATATAATAAATTTGTTTAATGACCATGCCTTGCCATTTGTGTATAGTCAATGGAGAGGCATTGTTATGTCCAGTTCACTAAGTAAACCTTCTTGATTAAATGTGATTTTAATCCAGATTCCCTACTTGCCAAGAATGGCCTCATGTTGTCTGATCATGAGGTAAGTATCTCTTGTGCATCGATAAAAAGTCTTGTTTCTCTTTGTAATCAATAATCATAATTTCG